TTATACAGTTTTCACATATATGCTGTGTTTCTCTGCTATACTAGTCAGCTTGGGCTGCTAAAACAAAATGTCATTGACATGGTGGCTTAAACAACAGGAATTTATTTATCATGGTTCTGGAGGCTGGGGAAAGTCCACGATCACGGCACTGGCAGATTTGATGCCCCAGTGGGGACTCTTTTCCTGGCTTGACGACAGCTGGCTTCTCACTATATCCTTAGATGGTAGAGAGAAAGACAGAAAGTGCTGGTCTTTCTTCCTCTTCTGATAAGGATACTAATCCAGTTAATCCTAAAGGAAATCAACACTGAACATTCATTGGAAGGACTGATGCTGAAGCTGAAGCTCCAGTCCTTTGGCTACCTGATGTGAAGAGTGGATTCATTGGAAAAGACCTTGATGCTGGGAAAGACTGAGGACAGGAGGAAAAGGGGGTGATAGAGAATGAGATTGTTGGATGGCATCACTGACCCAATGGACATGAGTTTGAGCAAACTCTGGGAGATAGTGAAGGACAGGGAAGCTTGGTGTGCTGCAAGCTTGGTATATGACCACGAGGTTGCAAAGAGTAGGACATGAACAACAACCATCCCATGAGGGGAGAGGTCCCATCACATGACATCATTGAAACCTAATTAACTCCCAAAGGTGCCATGTCCAAATACCATCACATTGGGGTTAGGGCTTTAAGACATGAACTTATGAAATGACTGTAAACTACCCATTCATGCCCTTTGAACCTATTTCCATTGGGTTGTTCGTCTTTTTTCTTACTGATTTGTTAAAACAATGGGCTAGCAGTTGACAGGGCTTTGAGCTTCTATTATTTGTTTTTATCTCTCACTATGATTTATTCTTTGGTTTAGTTGTTTATCACTGACTAACCAAGGTCCTGTGAGTTAGTCCTAATTTTAGGAATAGTATGTCTGAGAAGACTTGGAATTTTTCCCATCCTGTCTCATAGAAAACTCCTTGACCATCAGAAAAGAAGGAGGGAGGAGGGTCGTCAGGAGGACTGGGAAGGAGTAGAGGGCGGATGGGAGGCTGATGGAACTAGGAGGCTGATATCCAAAGCTCTCCTCCCTTTATTTTTTCCTTTGATATTTCTTTCTTTCTCTGCATTTCCCCTCCTTTCCTTTCTGTTTCTCTGTTTCCCCCTTTGTTTCTGGCTGTGTACTATGAAAATACAATTCTGGAGCTTGTGGTCAGATTCTCACCATGGGGACTGAGATGTAATTTCAAGTCACTCACCATAATTCAACTTTATAAATTAGAGAATTCTTATGAATAGAAGAGGATGGAATGTGGTTTCGTGTTTTCTTTCCCCAGGGACCCTGCCCAGTTTGGCCATAGGAAACTAAGTTAAGGGTGGGATTAGTTCTAGGAAGTGGATTTTTAGCTGCATGTCTAAGCTAGATATTAAAGACAATGCCTTAGTTATCTGTGTTCACGAGAAATCAGGAAGTGATGGGTAACTGAAGTCCCCAAATGTGCCAGAAATATACTTCCTCTGTTTGATCATCCCAATTATCCTCCTACTAGGACTATCAAAGAGGATTTATTTCTATTCATTTTACTTTTCTGTTTTCCACGAACAACACAGGCAGGGAGGCAGCATGCTGCATGAAAAAGAAAGTGCTGGACTAGGAGTCATGTGTGTGCCTCAGCTGCTCAGGCATGTCTAACTCTTTGTGACCCCATGGACCGTAGCCTGCCAGGCTCCCCTATTCGTGGACTTTTCCAGGCAAGAATACTGGGGTCTGTTGCCATGCCCTCCTCCAAGGTATCTTCCCAACCCAGGGGTTGAACCTGAGAGTCTTCTGCATCGATAGATGGATTCTTTACCACTCAGCCACCAGGGAAGCCCAGATAGGAGTCAGGAGACCTCAGTTTTAGTCCTGTCTGTGCCCCTCACTAGCCGGAGACTATGGGTAAGTCATACAGCTTCTCTGAGCCCCAGTTTCTTCCTGTAAAAGGGACAAAATAATCAATCTCCCAGAGGGGCTCAGGGGCCCTGTGAAGTGTGACCTGGCGTTAGTGGTGCCAATACCATACAACCCACCCCCATGCTTCTGAGCTGTCTGCACAGTGCTCAGCGCAGAGAAGGAGCCCGACAAACGTCTGTATGCTTTTCTTCCTTGTCCTGGAAGGACCAGCAGACTGTGTTAATTTCCTATGGCTGTTGTAATGAATAACTACAAACTTAATGGCTTAAAGCAACCGAAATTTATTCCCTCACAATTCTGGAGGCCAGACATTCAAACTCAAGGTATTTTCAGGGCTGTGCTTCTTCTAGTAGCTAGGGGTGAATTCTCCTTACTTCTTTCAGCTTGTGGTATACTTCTTTCAGCTCCTGGCCTGTGGCTGCTCAACCCAGCCTCTGCTTTTATGGTCACGTGGCCTTCTCCTCTGTCTTCTAAGGACACTTGTTATTGGATTTAGGGCCCCCTCCATCCCCCAGAAGAGGATGATCTCATCTCAAGATCCTCAATCACATTGACATTGGCCCTTTTTCCAAATAAGTTCACATTTACAAGTTCTCAGGGTTAGAGCATGGACATATCTTTTGGGGAAAGCCACCATTCAAACCACCCCCCACACTCTAGGGATTACTTTATATATCAAGACTGCAACCTGATTCGACACTTTTTTTTTGTAACCACCCAGTGAATCCATCATCAGTTTATTAATAAATCAGGATATGTCAGGGAGGAGAAGAAAGAACAAAAGCTTGTTTTTTGTTTGCTGTGTTTTGTATTTACAAATAAGAAAAAAGCCTTCTCTCCCGGGTCCCCAGTTTAGGAGTGATGAGTTGACTGTATTTGCCACTCGTGTGGCCATCCCCGTCTTCCATTCATATCTGGTGATGAGGAAACTGCAGCCTTTCAGTCACATAACCTTCTGTCCTGACCTTGCTCCAACCATGTCTCCTGCTGGCTGCAGCCACATGACCTCTGACCTCTCACCGCAGCTCTCTGAACATGGTGCCCGTAGACTGGCAGACTGACATCCAGCTCTGGGCTTGAGCCTCTGATTAGATGGTTCTTTGCTGAGCTGCTCAGCCCTCTCACTCATCCTGGCTTAGTCACTCTCTGAACCTTCAGGGACCCAGTTTAAACTCTCAAGGTCATCCAGAGACCCCTCTGTGCCCTGGAATGTAGTTGAGTGACAGAGGCAGTTCTCAGCCACTCAGTCTTGTCCGACTCTTAGCGACCCCGTGGACTGCAGCCTACCAGGCTCCTCAGTCCATGGGATTTTCCAGGCAAGAGTACTGGAGTCGGTTGCCATTGCCTTCTCCAGGAGACCCCAGTATAATTCCTGGGTTTGGAAGATCCGCTGGCGAACGGATAGGCTACCCACTCCAGTATTCTTGGACTTCCCTTGTTGCTCCGCTGGTAAAGAATCCACCTGCAATGCGGGAGACCTGGGTTCGATCCCTGGGTTGGGTAGATCCCTAGAGAATGGAACGGCTACCCACTCCAGTATTCTGGCCTGGAGAATTCCATGGACTGTATAGTCAGACCACGGGCTTGCAGAGTCGGACACGACTGAGTGACTTTCACATAGTGTTGCTCAGTGTCCCAAGGGTAGGAAGGACATTCCAGGGAATGATCCAGAAGCTCAAGAGCAGTCTGCTGAGAGAGAGCAGGCAGTGCTAGAACTGCCTAGAGTGGGGGCTGAGGAGACTCGTGTCCAAACTCTGCTGCGACCACATGACTGAGGCAGGTCACAGGTCTCCAATTCTTGGGTGGGAAACTTCATCTCTGAAAGGTGAGAATGTTTGTAACCAGGGCTGCTGAGAGAACTAGAAATTACATGTGCTATCTGGCACCAACTGGATACCAGAATAATTACAGCTATTTTACCATCATTCCTCCTCTGAGGACTTCTCAACCCATACCCTACCCAGGCAGGCAGCCAGTTCCCTGGGAGACTCCCCTAGTCTTGTCTTAGCTACATAAAGCTCTCTGCTGCTAGGTCCAGTCCATTTGTGCAACCTGGGGTGCATCTCTCCTTGTTCTCAGGTCCTAGTCAACACTGGTATAGAGCTGGTACTCACGGCCTGTCTGCATCATGAAAGAACACAGGGTACCTATGCTTAGCACTCTGCTTGGCATGATAGCTCTCTGTGAAAGGGCCAGTTAAATGCATGGGAATGTCGAATCACCTTCAGGATAGAACTTTAACTTTCTGACATTTTTAATCTCTCCTGATTCACCATGGAAGCAGGAAAGATGATCATTATGGTTTTACTAAGCACATATTTAGTGCCTGTTCTCTGCTGTGTGTGTAGATATCCTAACTTAAATCTTCTTAGAGCCTTGTGAGGTAGGTAGGTACCATCCCTCTTTAGGACGCAGAGAGCTTCAGAAACTTTCTGGTCGCCCTGGTAGAAGTGGCAGGGGTGTGATAGGGGCATCTGCTTCTGGAGCAGGGCCTCTAAACCCTCAGACTGCGTTGCCTTTACTGCATGGAGACACTGGGCCGTGGCCTCCTCACCAACTTGAGGGAAGCCCTGTCCTTCTAGCCTGGACCCCAAGGACCTGAGGGGTAAGCCTCAGTTAAGATGTGCGAGCAGTGCACTGCGCTCGCCAAGGGCATGGTCCCCAAAGCCAGGATCACATACAATTTTGGTGAGCCTTATGCATTTGTGCCTTTGTGTGTCCCTTCCTTTATTAAAAAAAAATATATATATATATAAAAAATATATAAATTATATAAATATATAAAATATGTATATGTATACATATACAGTTGTGCCTTTGTGTGTCTCTTTGTTTATATGTGTGTGTGTGTAGATATATGTTCATTCTATTTTATCACTTCGTCTGTATGAAGACGAGTATAACCCAAGCCGGGTTCTATTCTGTCTCTCAGATTTTAACAGGGGCCCTATGCCAACTTGTGCCTAATGGGTACGCCTTTTGGGCTATCCACGGCCTCTGCGGGTTAAGCAGGAGCGGGTACTGCGGTCCCCTAACGGGCCTCTGTCTCCACAGGTCCCGCAGCGGATGGCTGTGGCCGAGGGCGCCGCGGAGGACGGCGGCGGCGGCGCCCCGGGCGTGTGGGGCTCCTGGGGCCCCTGGTCCGCCTGCTCGCGCAGCTGCAGCGGCGGCGTGATGGAGCAGACGCGGCCCTGCCTGCCCAGCTCGTTCCGCGCACGCGGGGGCCCGCGGCCCGGAGCCCCCGCGCGCGCCTTCGCGGGCCACGTGGTGTCAGCCGTGCGCACGTCGGTGCCGCTTCACCGGAGCCGCGAGGAGACACGCGCCCCTGCCGGCCTCAACTCCAGTCGCCAGGGCCCGGCGCTGCGAGGCAGCCGGCACCCGCAGGCCCGGGGCCGCGAACCCACGGCGGAGAGAAGGTACCTGCCCTCCCGACCCCCGCGCGCCCTCCCTCTATAGTCCTTGTACCTGCTGGGATGTGCCGCGCTCGCCACTCTTCATCCTAGATCGCGCGGTTAAAGCTTTGCTTCTGCCAGGTGGGGAGGAATTCTTGGCTCCACGGGTCTCCTTCCATCCTTTGATTTATTTTGCAGCCTTTTAAAGCGTTGAGGCCACTCCCACCCCCTCTGTGATTCTGAATAGTCTTCAAAGTGACGCTGAGTTTAGGAATGTCCTTAGGCTCAACTTCAGGGGGGCCCTGCGGAGGACTGGAAGAGCTACCTGGAGCTGGGAGACCTCCTTCCTAGTACTCCTCTGCTGCTAAGTCGCTTCAGTCGTGTCCGACTCTGTGCGACCCCATAGACGGCAGCCCACCAGGCTCCCCCGTCCCTGGGATTCTCCAGGCAAGAACACTGAGTGGGTTGCCATTTCGTTCTCCAATGCATGAAAGTGAAAAGTGAAAGTGAAGTCGTTCAGTCGTGTCCAACTCTTAGCGACCCCATGGACTGCAGCCTACCAGGCTCCTCCATCCATGGGACTTTCCAGGCAAGAGGACTGGAGTGGGGTGCCGTTGCCTTCTCCAGGTACTCCTCTAGTGTTGGGGAAAAGGGAGAATCCTGGCTGCAAGCTGTGTGGATTTGAGCTGAGAACACAAAACAAGGGGCTTTTTAAAGCCAAGAGCTGACAGTGAGTTTGGAATCCCTGAACAGGTTGGGTGTCTGGAGTCTAACTTGCTCCCAGCCTATAGGTTTCAGGATTCTATGAATTTTTCTAGAAAGTTTCTCCAAAGTATTTTGAGTGAACTCACAACTGTGAGAATATGTCTAATTAATTAGATCTATATGTTTTTTAGAGTCAACAAAATGTAAACTCCAGAAATGGCATAGTGGTATCAGAATAGTTGTATAACTCTCCAAAGCCTTAGGTGGCTAGGCTAGCATAAATAAGCCAAAATAGGCAGTGCCCATGGAAAAGTAGGAATACAGATGCTGAGAAAAACCTGTTAGTGAATTAATCAACCAACATTCACATATTATTCAGTATTCATTCTGCCCATTTGTTGGGCACCCAAGGTTCATGATAAATTCTGAGAGAATATTCCTGTGAAAGCAATTTGTTGTTCAGTTGTATAGTCCCTTCTGACTCTTTGTGACCCCATGAACTACAGCACACTAGGCTTCCCTGTCCTTCACTATCTTCTGGAGTTTGCTGAAACATGTCCACTGAGTCAGTGATGCCATCCCACCATCTCGTCCTCTGTCAGAGAATGAAAGCAATAAAGAGCAAACATTTACAGCAAGAATAGTAAGTATAAGCTATGCTCACTGTGCTTAAAGAAAGTGAAAATCTTTGTCGTTCTGTTGTGTCAGACTCTTTTCGACCCCATGGACTGTATAGCCTGCCAGGCTCCTCTGTCCATGAAATTCTCCAGGCAAGAATACTGGAGTGGGTAGCATTCCCTTCTCCAGGGTATCTTCCTGATCCAGGGATTGAACCTGAATCTCCTACATTGCAGGCAGATTCTTTACCATCTGAGCCACCTGGGGATCCCCACTATGCTTAAGAAATACTTAGTTTAGTCATTAAGCCAAATTAATGCCCAGTTTAGGCGGGATGCAAGTGTATAAGATGGGCTGCCTGGCCTCTCTTGTCACTTGCAGTTCGGACATTAGCATCGATGGCCACCCTTCCCCACTGTGGTTAACACTGCCTGAGTCCTTCTCAGCTGCCAGCCACCTGGAAATAGAGAGGAGTTACAACCCATCCACCCTTGCCTGCACAGGTCTTTCTTGACCTGGTTGTTAGGATTTTGGAGAGAAAGGGCCATTTCACAGAGAAGGTGCTTTGGCCGAATCCTGAATTGATAAACCAAATTTGAGCTGATAGAAGGGAGATTTTGGAGGCCTGGCTGGCCTGCCAGTGGGAGAGTAAAAGAGGAAATCACCTGGGAGAAGGTGCTTCCTTCTTTCTCTGTTCCTGCGTATAGACCTGAGGACCCCCCAGTATCACTCTGGGACTGAGAGGCTGCTGCTTCTAAAGCCAAGGATTTGGTATGTGTTATCTCTCTTCATCCTGACCACAACCCCATAATAACATAGCTCTCCAGTCCCTTATCTAAAATGCTTATGGCAGTGCATTTTAGAATTCAGAACTGTTCAGAGTTTATCAAGGTGATTCAGGGCATATTTCACATGTTAATGGCATTCCTTCCATGGCATGGGGCAGCACCCCATCAGCAAACACATTACTATTGTTGCAGTGAAACCTACAAATGTTCACATCAGCTGGGAAAGAAAAAAAGACCATAAAAAGCCTTATGTCAGTTAAGGTGAGGCTTGCTGCCCAACGAGTTTTGGTACCAAACAGAAAAATGCAAAAAGCAAAAGAAAGACAAAAAGTTGGTTTTCCAAATGCTTGGTTTCAAAATTTCAGATTTATAACAGCTTATGGAATGCCTGTTCTGTACCAGCCACTGTTCTTATCTCTTTACACGGACAACCCTATAAGATAGGTACTAATATCATCCTCATTTTAGAGGTGAGGCCCAGAGACCCAGAGAAGGGGAATAACCTGCCCAAGGTCACACAGCTAGCCTGTGAAGAGTCAGGATTGGAACTCAGTTAGTCCTGGCTCTAAGGACGTGATGAAGTGTTGTTACACATGAGGATCTAAGGCCCGAAGAGGTTTAAGTGATTGCTCAGATTCCTAGATCCATGAGAAAGCTGAGATTTGAAGGTGCTGCTGACTCCCAGATCCCTGGAGTACTAGGGACTTCTCTTCCAGCCTCTGTGGTTGAGAACCCAGGAGAGCTGCCTGGGGAACAGGCTCCAGTTGGCTGCAGGCCTGGGCTGCAAGCATTCCAGCCTATGCGTTTTGGCAGCAGGATTTTTTTTTTTCTTCTAACTTATTGACAACGGGCCAATTACTGTTTACTATGAAGTTCCTACAAGTTTCTATCATGCTTTTGTAATTTGACAGTTTAAGATGAAACAATCCAAATATTAGCCTGGAAGACCCACACTGCTGACAAATGTCGAGCTCTTCCTAGCTGACGAAGATCACATTTGCTTATATTTATTAGTCATTAGGAACTTGCATAGCATATGTGACCCCAGAAGAGATGTCAGTGTGTTCTCTGGATGGCTGTCTGCCTCACTCTCTGTTTCAGGTTCAAGGTTTGAAGCAAAGGCCATTGGGGCTTTAGATGTTTAAGAAACTGTTAGGTTGTTATGCTAGCCGACTGAAAACCTAACTGGAGCCAGCTAACAAATTAAACAAAATGATACAACCTTCTAACAAATATTTATTAAGCATATAATATGTTGTAAGGCCCCAGACAGACACAAAGATTTTAAAAACCAGGTTAGGGATGCTCCAGGTTCTTACTGACAGTTAGAGCAGCTGCTTGCAAACCTAACTTTTTTTTTGTATTCTTAAAAAAAATTTTTTTTAATTGGAGAATAATTTCTTTACAATGTTGTGTTTATTTCTGCTGTATAATGATGTGAGTCAGCTGTAAGTATACATATATTCCCTCCTTGAACCCCCCCACCCCATCTCACCCCTCTAGGTCATCTCAGAGCACTGAGCTGAGTTCTCCGTGTTACACAGTTGCTTCCCACTTGCTCTCTGTTTTACACGTGGTCAGTGCTACTGTCTCAGTTCGTCTCACCTTCTCCTTCCCCCGCTGTGTCCTCAAGTCCATTCTCTACAGCTGCCTCTCCATTCCTCCCCTGTAAATAGGTTCATCTGTACCATTTTTCGAGACTCCATATATATGCGTTAATATATGATACTTGTTTTTCTCCCTCTGTATGACAGACTCCAAACTTTTTTTTTTAAGTTTATTTTTAATTGGAGGATAATTGCGTTACAATGGCGTGTTGGTTTCTGCCGTACCAAACTTCACTATTTTTTGAAGCGTAAGAATCCTGTCTGCAAAATCAGTCTTAGGTAGAGGCTCCGTTTGTCACACAGACAAAAGCTGAGCTGCTCTGGTTGAAGCCTCAGAGGCACTGCTGTAGAAATCCAGGGCCTAGATCCAAATGCAGCAATGGTTTTCAACCTCTGTTGACCATAAGAATCCTTTGCCTATCTTTTAGAAGTCTTGACATCCTGGTTACATCCCAGATGAACATCTGGATCTCAGAGAGTTATGCTCGGATAGCTATATAATGTCAATCCAGCCAAGGCTGGGAACCACTGATCTGGAAGTATCTCTTTGGAACCTCAAGGTTCTGTGGTAAGTCTTTTAGGAATCAGTATTGTCCAGCAGAATTTTCCAGGTTTGGTGAGCACCTGGAATCACTTGCAGTGGGGTGGGGAGGTTTGTTAAAAGTGGAGTTGCCCATATGTATAAAATAGGTAATTAATGAGAACCAACTATATAGCCCAGGAAACTGTAATCAGTGCTCTGTGGTGACCTAAATGGAAAGGAAAACCAAAAAAGAGGGGCTATATGTATAGCAGATGCACTTTGCTGTAGAAACTAGCACATTGTAAAGCAACTATACTCCAATAAAAATTAATTTTAAAATAAATAAAAAATAACATAAAAAAGTTCTAAAAAAAGTGGAGTTGCCCAACCGCCACTCTCTCCCTTGCTTGGTGAGGATTCTATTTTGTAGGTCTGTGCTGTGACCTGTGTAGCTTTATTTTAAATGATTTTGGTATGCTCCAGAGTTTGAGAACCGCTGCTCTAGAAAGTTGGAAAACACATGAGTGTAAATGCCTTCCGGACAAGGCAGTATGTTGAAATAGTCATGGTAGTGATGATGGCTACCATTTTTTTTTTCCATTTATTTTTATTAGTTGGAGGCTAATTACTTTGCATCATTGCAGTGGGTTTTGTCATACATTGAAATGAATTAGCCATGGATTTACATGTATTCCCCATCCCGGTCTCCCCTCCCACCTTCCTCTCCGCCCTATCCCTCTGGGTCTTCCCAGTGCACCAAGTCTGAGCACTTGTCTCATGCAC